TGTCAGATGAAACATTCTGTAGATGTCTGTTAAGTCTATTTGTTAACTAGTGTGGTTGATCCTTAACATATTTGTTGATTTTTTGGTCCGGTTTTTCTGTATGTTTGTGAGAGTGAGGAATTAAACCCCCCACACTATGATTGCTTGGGCATCATCTTTTCTTTCACTTCCAGTAGATTTTGTTTTATGAAGTTGGGTATGCCATCATACACTGCATGTATATTTAGAATTGTTTTTTCTTCTTGAATTGTTTCTTTTACCAGTATGTGGTGGCCTTCTTTGTCTCTTTTAGTCAGTTTTGACTTAATGTGTGTTGTGTTTGAAAATAATGTAGCTGTTCTTGTGCTTGGGCTCTAGTTGTATGAGATATAATTTTCTCCATCCTTTCACTTTTGGTCTGTACAGTATATTTGGGGGGAATGAGGTATTTCTCTCACAGACAGCAAATGGTTAGATTTTGTTTTTTGATCCAATCTGGCTGTCAGAGATTGAAGATTTAAGACCACTAGCACTAAGTGTTATTATTGTAATTTATTTACTGAATCCTGTCATCGCATGACTTATTTTCTCCCTCTTATTTGGTCGCTACTTTAGAAGTATACTTTCCTTCATACTCCTTGGTGCTGATGACCTTCATCTCTCTCTCTCTCTCTCTCTCTCTCTCTCTCTCTCTCTCTCTCTCTTCTTTTTGCTTTTTTCTTTTTTTGTACTGGGGATCTATCTCAGGACCTTACATTTGCCAGGCAGGTGCTTGTGCCCCTGAGCTATATCCCAGGCTTGGAAGAGGTTCTTTTTTTGTTTTTGTTTTTTGGTTTTTTTTTGATGACCTTCATATCTGTATAGTATTCCCTTAAGTTTTTTCTGCAGTGTTGATCCAGTGGTCATGAGTTTCTTTAGAGATTTCTTTGTCACAGAGACTCTTTAGTTCTCCATTAAATTTGCAGGCTGATTTTGTAGCGTGTAAAATTCTGCGTTGACAGTTATTTTCTTCTAGTGATTGAAAAATTTTGTTCCAAGCTTCCCTGGCCTTTAAGATTTGTGCTGAAAAATCCACTGTTACTCTGATAGGCTTACACTGATAGGTTGCTTGCTATTTATCTCTTATGCCTGTTAACAATCATTTCTTGTGCTGAATGTTTATAATTTTGTTTAGCATGTGTGTGGAGAGGTTCATTTCTAGTCATGGCTATTTGGGGTAAAAAAGGGATTGCTTCATAAATTTGCACATTGTCTTTGTGCAAGAGACAGGCTGAACTCTGTATCATTTCAATTTTAGTATACATGCTACCAAACTAAGCACCAGCCTTAGATTTTCCAGGAGAATATGCTTCTTCTTCTACTCCATTAGGAATGTTATTGTGAAAAATTTGTGAACATTTCTATCCTTACCATACCTAGCCAATTTTAGCTCCTGTCTCTCCCAATACCTTTATTTTATCTCTTCCTTCAAAACAATCTTTTCGATAAATCTCTTTGCCATCTTTGTTCTGTTCCTCCTCATTTGGCATTTGCCTCTTGCCTTTTAAACTGTTTATTTGCCTGTATTATAGTCATATAGACATAATTTCTAACTGAATTATAAAGTTGTAAAAATAAGACTGTTTCATTTTCTGTGGCTGACTTCCTACAAAGCCTAACATGGTGTTGCATGGTAGCTGTCTCTCAATAAATAATTTGATGTAAAAACATTTAGAAAAACTTTCTAGGAGAATATTCATTTGCTTTAATATTTCATTTTGTTTCATTTTTAAATTAATTTCACACATCAGAAAAGTATAAAATGAGTCTCCCTTCCACCCCAATCGCCCAGCAACCAAGTTCCCCTTCCAGAAACATATCTATTTGATTTGTAATCAAGAATGTCCAAAGAAAATTATGTGGCCTGTGAAGTGGCTCAGTATAGCTTTTCACCATGGCTGTAGTATTTTAATCAGTTCTATGTGCTGTACTTTAGGAAAGACATTGAAAAATTGGAGTGTGATCAAGAAGATGGGAAGGGGATTCAAACCCATGTCAAATGAGGAGCTGAGAATATTTTGCCATGAATTTTAAAAGCCAAGGGGAGATTTGTAGGTGGATATGACTAGAAAACATATTTCATGTCATTACATTGTAGAGTAATGTAAGAGTCTTGTACCTTTAAAATTCAAACCCTGGTGATCATTCTAACACTAATTGTAGGAAGCTGAAAAAGAATAGCAGAAGCATCAAAATTCAGAGACTGTGTAGTGACCCCTTGAATAAAAATTTTATAGAGCAGTACTTAATTTTGATAATGATGAATAGTTGTATTCATAAGTATCCTGCTTTAGAGACGGTATCAATTCTCATACAGGAAAGGAAAGCCCAGCAAAAAGGAAACAAAAAAAAGTGAAAATAAAATTCCTTGCATGAGTTTGCTGAGATAAAGGTAGTAGGAGCATGGAGGGACGGTTTGAAAAAGCTCTTTCTTTCTGCCTCCACCCACCCATGAGATCAATTATTCCACCACAGTCTATCTGAATTAGCAAAATAAATTTTTTAAAAAATTAATTAAATTTATTCATACATTTTAGATGTGCATAAGGGTCACATTCATATAGGGAATTTGTACCTGTATATAGAATATCTGAATCCTTTTTTCCCATTCTTCTACCCTCCCTTCAACACCTCTGTCACACCTAATTTACAAAAGCTTTGTTTCTGTTCTTCTTTTCTCATGTTTTTCTTTTCCCCACCTTCCTTTCACCCACCCCCTTCCCTAGTTCTCCTTCCCATTTGAGCATTTTCTTCCCATTTCTCAGTATCTGTTATGCATTTTGGGCCTTATTTTCACTTTCAGTTTCTCACAGTAGAGAAATGATACAATATTTACATATATGTATCAAATTTATTTCGCTTATGAGTATGGCCTCCACGTACATCCATTTACTTAGAAAAGTCTCAAGTTTATCCCTTAAGGCTCAGTAGTACTCCATTGTGTAAAGAATATATCTTCTTTATTCATTCATCAGTTGATGAGCTTTTGGGCTGTACCCAAGACTTTGCTATTACAAATTGTGCTGCTACCAATTGGTTGTGCATATATTGCTGTAGTGTGATGCTTTTAATACTTTTGGGAAGATGCCAAGAAAATGAATAGCTGGGTCAAATGAAGCCTCTAGTTTTAGTTTTCTGAGCAATCTCTACGCTGATTTCCGAAGTGGTTGCACCCATTTACACTCCTGCCTACCATGCAGAAGCATTCCCTTTGCCCCACATCCCTGCCACCATTTGTTATTGGTGGGTATCTTGATAATAGCCATTCTTTCTAGAGTGAGATGGAATCTCAGTGTTATTTTAATTTGTGTCTCAAATGACCATTAATGCTGAACATTTTTTTCATGTATTTAATTTACCCTTTCTACTTCTTCATCTGCCAAGTGTGTATTCATTTCAAATGCCCATTTTTGATATGGCTCTTTATATTTGGGTGGTCTGACTTTTTCAGTTCTTTATATATTCTAAATGTTAGTCTTTTGTCTGAGGAAGAGCTGGCAAATTTTTCCCCAATCTTTGGGTTTTCTCTTCATTCTGCTGATGAATTCTTTTGCTGTCCAAAAATTTGTTAACAAGAGATCTCAGTTGTTGTTTCTGTGTAATATTTCTCATATTTCAGGGTTTCATTCATAAAATCTTTGCCCACACATATGTATTCAAGAGTTTTACCTATTGTCTCTTCCAGCATGTTTAGTGTTTCTGTTTTAATATTTAGATCTTTGATCAATTTAAGTAGAATAAACTTTAAATATGTTCCTCATAGTTCCAAGCTAAGGACATTAACTCAGTAGTCTCCAAAATCTAATCTTTACAACTCAATAGAGAACAGACAAAGAATTGGAATGCAAGAACAGAGGATCAAACATTTTGTTTCACCTTTTACATGCCACTTGGTTTTTATAATGTACACAAACTTTTAAGATTGTCATACATTTATGTCATGTATAGACATGCACATATAGTGAGAGGTATGCTTATTACTTTTAGTGAATGATGCATAATAAAAGTACCTATCATACAGTAGTTGCTTGATACGTGTTATTGCTCTTCTCTTTAAGCTATGCTAGAAAAAGCCTTCCAATATATTGTGTTAATAACATTGATGTGTTACATGTACATACATGGGTGTCCATGTTATGACTGAATTATTTTCTAATTGTGGACCATCAATTTTATGCTTGAAATGTCTTCAAAATTTTCATAAGTTATACTCATTTACTATTTTTCTATAAAATGTAAAACAGCTATAACTTCCAATGTTGAATTAAATAGATAACTACCCCAGCCAAATATTCACACTCACCTTACACTTACCCTATTCTTCCATATAGAAAATTTGTAAATTTTACTAGGAGTGTGCTCACTACATGATTGAGTTCTGTTAAGATTTAAACATGTAAATTTTTGGTACTATGGATTGAACCCAGGGTCTTTGCACATCACTGTTACTAATACAAAGTATTTAAAGGCTTTTTCCAACATAGCTGAATGGCAAGAGTGCTAACATGTATCAATTAATAACTGAGTGCTAGGTACATGCTTCCTCTTATTGATTCATTTTAGCTTAGGAAGACAAAATCCAACAGATATGTTCTACTATTGGGAATAATAGTAGAAATTATTTTAGAACAGCCAGGGAACTATTGAAAGACTTCAGCAAGCAAACATTTAACCCAACTTTTCAGGACACCTTTCCTTGGCAGCTGGAGATAGAGAAATGAATCACACTCAAATTATACCCTAGGAAATTTACATTCTTGTGGTACCAATGTGATTACCCTGACCCTACCTTCAAGGCATTTCTCTTCCTTGCTGTGCTAAATTTTTTAAAGTATTTTTTTCATTCTATGCAATTACACTTCTTTTTTTCCTTTGATTTCTGTCTTGCTGCAACTTCTCAATATCGGTTGAACTGGAAATCCATAAAATTATTGCTAAAGCACATACATTTGGGCCCATATTCTCCCTTTCTTTGTTCTTAGTGAAAGTTGACCCCACCTCCATGTCTCCACTGGAGATTCCAAGTGACAGCGAGGAGAGTTTAACTGAGAGTGGATCTTCAGCCTTACAGGGTCTACAAGGACTGCAACAAGAGTGAGTACTTCTTTTTCTATGTGTGTGTGTGTGTGTGTGTGTGTGTGTGTGCTTGCGCGCATGCATGCATGCATATTTTTGCATGCATAAAGATGGGACTCGTCAGAAACAAAGGAAAAATTTTAAAAACAGCAAAATGTAAATGAACTGTCTTCCTGTACAAGTTTGTGTGGACATATGTGCCTGTATGTACATGTTATGGTTAAATTATTTTCTAATTGTAGATCATAAATTTTATGCCTGATAAATTTTCAAAATTTTCATCAGTTACAGTAATCTACTATTTCTCTTTGTAAATGTAAAACAGCTGTAACTTCCAGTGTTGAAATTAAATGGATGTATTTTGCTCATGTTTGGCAATTATGTTGTATGAAACCTGCATTTTTTTAAGCATAAGAGTGACACTAATTGAAGTGAAATGCTCACACTGTTCTAGAACAGAATCACTTAGGGAAGCATTATCACCTCCCATGCTTTCTCAGGGACCGGTGTTTAACAGAATGGCATAGTTGAATCATTTGCATTATTTCAATTGTTTCCTCTTTTGTACGCTTAGCATTGTGGGCTTAGCACTGAGTAATATAAAATAAAAATTGGTATGAGGTGGCACCACTGTATTTGAGTCAATGTCTTTACCCTCCACTTTAAAGTCATTCTTTGGTCTTATCTCTCTTCCTTTGCTTAGATCAAGAATAATGGCCCAAAGGCAGGGAGAAGAGTCACTCGATTTGAAGAGAAGACGGATTCACCAATGTGACTTTGCAGGATGCAACAAAGTATACACCAAAAGCTCTCACCTGAAAGCTCACCGCAGAGTCCATACAGGTCTGCCAAACTTCCACCATCTTACCTCCCCCTACACACATACGTACACATACAGACACACACACTAGGAGGGGGGAGTCTCTGAAAGCTAGAAAGAGAAGGAAATCTTGAAACAAAGATGGCTTTATTTATACTCTGGTACAGGCCCCGTTCATGGTTTTTACCTCCATGTCTTATTTATACTGTAAGGCAACTCTTATAAAACTGTCCTAAAGGAACGTGAAAGTTAGTGTCTTTTGAATAGTCATCGTCACTAGTAAATACCTTCAGACCTTTCTAACTGGGGAGCCATAACACTTAAACAAAAAACTTAAGGAAGCTAAGATTTTATTTGCTCCTTTAACCCTTGGGTCCCACAGGTTTTGCTGAGTATGGAAAAGCACAAAGGTAATTAAGTGAACATTAAATTTTTGAAGCTCAGCACCATCCAGTAACTTACAATGTGCCTTTGTTTACATAAAACAAAGGTACATATAAATAAAGCAGACCTGATGAAGATTTTGTCAAAATGGAGGGCACACAACCCATTTGAAAAAAGAGAGCTGCCACCCAACTCCAGCTAAATATTATGAGATCATTTTTTTAAAAATAAAAAAATATTTTTTGTTAGAAACATCTTAAATTTTTAATGTTGTTAGCTTGTTCAATTTTTTTTTAATATCTCCAGTGATTCAAACAAACGTGCCTGGAAGCCAGATGCAGCTCATTAACCATCACTTTACGTCTTTGCCTTGGTAACCCCTTCCCGGTGATCTCCACTTTAGAATTGAGAGGGACCTTGGTCAAAGCAGAGGCCCTCCTTTCTCCTAAAATCTGCTATATTTTCTGTGTTAAACTTCATGAAGAAGTTACCAGGGACCTCAGGACTGTGTCTTGAGGCTGAGTATAGGTGACTGATTTTCAGGTTGCATTGTTGCAACATTCCCATTGCAATATTTTTATTCGTAGATATATTTGTTTGCCTCTTCTCCATGCAGATGAGTGCTGATTTCATGATTACATACATTACCTTGTACTTCAATTTACATTTCTATTGATTTTCCACTCTCCATTGTATTATTTTGAAGCAAATTCTAAAAAGTTTATAATTTTAGTCACAAATACTTCAGAATATATGGTAACACTTTTAAAAGTAATCACAATATCATTAGCACACAAAATTGCTTAGTATCAAATCTCCTAAAATGTCTAATAACTTTTTTAAAAAGTTCAAGTCCGTACTAAACATACTTCACTGAATTTGGTTAATGATTGTTTTAGGTTTTTTTTAATCTTCATTTTTTCCCTCTTTCAATTTGTTTTCATTTTATTTGTTGAAAAGCTTGAGTCATTTGTGCAGTCCAGTTTACCATGCTTTGAATTTTCCTAATTATATCTTCACTGCATAAATGTAATATATTTGATGTCCCCCAATTCCTGTAAAAGGACAACTGTGTCTAGAAGATTAATCAGATTTAAGTTCAATTTTGAGCAACAACATGTCACAAAGGGTGGTGTGTACTTTATATTTCAGGACACATGCTATTTGGTTATCTCTGTGTGATGTTGAGATTAGTGAGTTTCAAGCTTCTACTTGTACTTGCCAAATGGTTATAAAGCTTAACAGCATATCTGAAGGCAGTTGAATGAACTCACTTGATGAGAAGCACTGTATATAATTTTAGTATACATATATCATAGATTTATCCACATAGTTTTTGTTTAGATTTTTTTTCCTTACTAAAATCTGTTTCTCTCACATTCACAAAGACACCAGGTCATATTAGCTCACATATCCCTTTCTAGGTTTTAAAATTATGCTTCTTGAAAGTACTGAGGATAAAGAAGGATCAGTGGACTTAGAACACCTGAGTTCTAATCACAACTCTCTTGACTAAGTCATTGTGTTCTCTGATACAAGTTCTCCTACCTCTTTGATCTCAGGTTTCCCCAGCTGTAAAATGAGGGGATTAAACTAGGAGATTCCATGTGACTTTTTTAGTCTGGAACCCTGTGGCTTGAATTCCAGTGTATCCTAGCATTTATCCTTCTAGAAGATCCCAAATGTATACAGATTGGAAATTGCTTTACAATAGTAAAAGTCGGGCTGTCTTTCCTATGTCACCTGTACATTCATTTTTAAATTAGCATACGTTTGCAATACATAATTGTTTCCTTCGTTTTGGGGAATTGGTACGTGTATATAATATATCTTGATCATTTTCAATACATTTACTTGCCAGAACATTCGCACTGCCTCCCTTACCCTCTATTCTTGAACTGATATAACAAGAGATATCATTTACTTTTATTTATGAAATGTAATAAAAATATAGTGTTTGTTTAAATTTTTAATGTATTACAGTAAAAAACACATTGTCATTCGTCCCCCTCAAAAGACTCCGCATTATTTGGAATATATTTACACATTAGTCTTTCTACTTTCTGAACCTGTTCTAGAAGTCCTGTTTTGTGGAGTGATGTTGACTTTTCATAGTCATTTTGAATTTGAGAAGAGCCAGAAGTCCCAGGGTGCTAAAGCCAGTGAATAAGATAGATGAAAATATCCTGTAACGTTTCTATGAGCCTATCTTTTTGTAGGATGGTAGTAACAACTTACCATATTTTTTATCATACCGTGCAGAGATACACAATAGAACACCCAAAATTGGTTCAGAAAGTGACAAAAATCATTGAATAAGTGTGTTCAAAGTGAAGGGGAGTATTTTTAATGGAATTAATGGTTATGTGCATTTACTGTAACAATTTTTTCATTGTTGTTTTTTTTTCTGGTACCGGGAATCGAACTGATGACCTTGCACTTGCCAGGCAGGCACTGTGCCGCTGAGCTAAATCCCCAGCCCCTGTAATAATTTTTTATTTGAACATACATCATATTTTTCATCAGCCCATATAATTCTCATGTTTCAGTTGTATTTCTTTCCATAGTGGTTTAGGGTTCTTTTATAATGGGAGAAAATGAGGCTTAAAATATAGACAGGTTTTAGCTTTGAATTGTATAAGTGAAAGGCTTATTTAAGAAATGGTCATGAGAGTAGAAGCCTTGTGAATGGTGGCAACTGGTGTCCAACTGAATCGTACTTTGTTTAGATTCAGGATTGTTCTTATGCTACTCAGTCTTTGCCATGGATATATGAGGTAAGGGAGTAATCCTGAAGGCACTTCAAAGAAGAAAGTTAACTTGCTTAAGTTACAGTAGTGTGAGACAGTTTTTAGCACTGCTGTATGTAACCCCTTCCTTGGACTGTTGCAGTACCCTAATTGGTCTTCTTACCTTAATTTATTCCTCACTACAATTCATTCTTCAGACAAACAAGATTTTTATCCTTTTATTTTTCTTTTGTTTAAATGTAAATCAGATCACATAACTATTGTAGTTTAAAATAATTCAGTGGCTTTCTGTGATACTCTGAATGAAATTCAAAGTCCTAACAATATCCTAAAAGACCTATAGAATGGGGAGTCTGCTTGGTTTTATTTTATAACACTTATTTTTCAGCTGTCAGTTTAACTGTTTTCTGTCTAGGAAAATTCTTCCCTAAGCCTATTTTGGCACTACCTCTCCCAATTATTTATGTAAAACACCTATTTAATTCTTTGATAAGTGGGGTTTTTAAGTTAGGACAATAATATGGCCAATATGAAAAGAAGCCACCTATGCACAAGTTTTAGAGAAAGTGTTATTAGCGAGATGTCCTATTTACAAAGGTGGTTAATATGTACCACTCACTGTATTGCCTTACCAGACCTTGCCTCTAGTTGATTGGGTTGCTTTATGCATTTTGCTCTATTTATCTAAGCATACCCATGTCTTCATCTCAATGCTTTGCATTACCCCAAAGATCTAGCTATGGACTGTCTTTGTCACATAGTGTATATGTTTTATATTATGAATGTTTTTTTGTTTATGTCTTTTGTTCTTTAACTTAGATAAGTTGATTGAGGTTATAGGCTATGTCATATGAAGTTAGCTAAAAGAGAAGCTTGTTCAATGATAATTAAAGGTAACTCCATTTTACATAGAAAGCTAGGTCTCTGCTGATTTGTTACAATTTGTGTGTTGTAGCAAATGAGTGCTGATCACCACAGGGTGTGACTGTTTTACAAGTCAGTTTTCTTTCATTTGAGTGTAGTGAGGAAAGGAACTCTCAGCAAAAATTCTTGAGACACGACAAAAAA